ATATATATATATATATATACTGCGCGTTACGCAACCGGGAGAAAGATAAATAAACACGCGCGTGTGGACTGCGGCGTCGTGTGAGTCATCGCACACAAAGATAGTCGGCGCCGATAGCGAAGTAAGACGCAATACGGCGCGGGCGGTGTGTGTTTACATTTCGCGATAATTCGCAATGGAAATGTTTGAGATATCCGATTCGACTAGCGGAGCTATTTGGAAACCGAGCCCCCATCGAATGTAGTGAAAAAGAAAAGATGAGTGCGACCGTTTCTGATTTTTGTTCCATTGTTATCTTTCCAAACATACAATAAAATATAAAAACTAAAATATAAAATGTAGAAGAACGATTAAGAATCATATCTACAAAGTTTACAGATTTTAATTCAGCGAAATTAATCGGAAAAAATTATACGTTATCTGTGAACGTTCTATCCTTGTGATAAGCCTAACGTAATAGCCTTCTGAAGGCAATCACACATGAATACGAATTGAGATAAGTAGGGCGCGTTTGGAATATTCAACTTTAAGGTAATTGATGATAACATTCAGCTAACTTCACGTTGTTTTATGTTAATTCTCTCTGAACGTCGATAAGAATAGCCGATAAACGTAAACACCTGTGTCGTCAAATGGAAAGTACCCCAGTATTAGGCAGTCTTGAAGTAGATGTACCGATGTGAACGAATATGTTCGAATCTTGCTGCGAGATGAAGGATGAAGGTAAATGACGTCACTTTCACGAGAGAATATAAGCGATTGATTAAATATTACATCGGATTGTGTCGACGATCGAGAGTACGAGCATTGAAATAAAATCGACTCGGTGATCTAACCTTTTACGCCTTGCTCTTGCTCGTCGTCTGCCGTTTGTTGTGCTCGGTGTTCATCAGCTTGGTGAGAATCTTTCTGGAATGGCCGCTCGGGTCGAAGTGATTCGTGTGCGCGACAGCCTCGCGTTTGCTCCTCTGTTTACCGCCGTGCGAGGTGAAGATGTGCTTGTCGTAGTCGTAGTTGAAGTGCTCGTACTCGTCGACGTATGCCTCGGACATAGTTCACGAGATTCGATGTACTCGGGGACGATTGCGGAAAGAAAGTCGCGGGCGCGACGTAAATGCGCAGAATATCGCTCGACTGGGATGACTCGACCGCGGAGATCGATTCGCTATACTGGTCGCGCGGCGTTCGCCGACCCGGGTTTATATACGGCGACCCGGTTCCGCGGGCCGCTCATGCGTGCTTCGTGCTTCGTCCGAAGCCGAAGCCGTGCCGGCGTAACAAGGCCCGGTTTCTTTGCCGACGAATGGCGAATGCTCTCTCAACCAGACGTGACCAGACGGGACCAGACGACAATTCAACGCGAATCTAATGTATCACGTTTTCCTTTGTTAATTCCGCATAGGAAAAAAGAAACAGAAGGAAATATCTTCTTTTATACTTGTTTGTACAACTGCGTAGTATCTGTACGTCGAGACGGTAACCTTTTGCGACGTAGATCTTGTGGCACCGATAACATAACGAGAAGCTCCATTTCGATCAGACTTTTTCGCAAAATTATGTAACTCCCGATTTGGATTTCGATTATTTGTAGTTGTCAGTTGCGAAAAGAGAAACAAACTAATTAAGAGGCGAACAAAATTGCACAATGGAGGTGCAACGTCACGACAAATATGTATAGAACGCTCGTCAAATACATTACAGTATAATAGTTTATATGTCCTATAATGCATTTCAGATATTTCCCCAAGCGTAGCGTTGAGTGTTTTCAAGGACGAAAATAATTGGGCAGATAGAACCACCTGGCAACATTGTAAAGGTACGCGCCGTATTGTGCAGAGCTGATCCTATGTTGTTGAAGCCTATATATGGATCTACTAGCAATAAGTACTTACATATTGTTCAATGTATGAAAAGAAGATAAAGGACAATGAATTATATATTTGAAAGTATTATATATATTTATATAATTTTAAGCAACTTGGTCAGAATATTTATATTGTAGAATATTGTCTCAGACAATTAAGCGTGTCAACAAAATAGTGCGAATCTATGATTGCTTATGATGGTGGCAATTTACATATATTTTTCTTCGACCATTTTGAATATATTGACATTTTAGTCTTATATATACAAGCAACAATGTATCGTTAGCAGTCAATGGCAAGATAGCAGCATCAAATTTCGCGTCGCCAGCAATATGATAACATTATGTGATTCTGCAGATTATTATGGTAATAGATAGCAAGAATTTTGATGAAGAAGATTTTGAAGTTGTCAGCAAATTGTTGCCAAATTACTGCCTAAAGTCATAAAAGCATTAACTTGCCAACAAATATGAATTCAGTTACTGTATAATTTTGATAGCAACACATATTTATTTGCGAGTAACATACTAACAACAAGGCACTTTGCTATCTGGAATAACGTAGAATTATTATTATAATATTGTATAATCAGAAATACATATTTTAAAAATATAATTTCGCTGTATGCGATAAAATAATCAATTAAGGCACTCTGAGTTTGTTGTCAATTAAGACACTCAATCAATTATTTCATATTTATACGAACTGGCGTATCAATATAAAATATAAATAGATAAATGGAGATAACTTCTATAGACATTGTTATCTATATGAACAATACAAATTAAAAATCTGTAGATAAATTAATTTTTGAGAAGTTATTGAATTGTACATTGTTGTCGTTAGAAACGTAATCGGGTATTTGAAAATAAGCAGAGTATAGTTTATTGTATTAATTATTGTGAAAGATTTCTCACGATAATGATTCTTTTCATACACGAGGTCTTCACTCCCGTTGCTTTCAATAGTTATTACTTACGTGGCTAATCTATATGTTCCAGACGACCTAGAAAATTCCAACACGTAAGCTCACCCGACGTCCAAGTGCATTGCCTTCTGCGAGTTCTATAGAGCGTGTATTTCCAGCGCTCTGATGCCATGTAACAGTGCTGCTTTTAGCCAAGTGCAGATTTCTGAAGGTAGCTCTTTTATTCAAACCGATATATTTCTTATCTTGTCAAGTATTTGAGAAAACATTGAGAAATCGCGCAGTTATGATATTGCTCCCTGCATCAAATTGAAAACATTTGTAAAAATAAAAAGAACAGAAAAGAATGGAATGAAAGTAACGGATTAGCTATACTTAAGAATCAATGTTTATATGTCGATAGGAAAAGCGCGTGTTAGGTTCGCATTCTAATCGTCTGCAAACTAGATGTGGCACTTGCAATCCGCCTTGCGGAGGTGCGGCGAGACACTCGTAACGGGGACATAAACAACTTGAGAAATATTTTGTTGTTACATTCACCGAGCGGATATGGATATCACCGCGCGGTTCTGCTGAGGAAAGCTGATATCACGCATTAACGCACGCACAATCAATCGAGCTTGTTTCTACGTCATACGATGTCAATGTACAAAGCGAAGTTATTGAAGCGTAAAAGACGCGTCGATGAAATCTCTCGATTAAATTATTCTGTATTTTTTAATCACAGGCTTTGTTCGTGACTTTCTATATATAACTTTGTTTTACATATGATTTTTATTTAGCAACAATCAAAGTTTCCTTCCTTGACATTATAACATATAAACAACAATTGATGATAACATCAAAGTGAAGTGACTGAAAAATGATTTTTAGGCCGATATTCATAGTCCATTCATATTTTAAGATTATCTTAAGTAATATCTTAAGATGCTAATGCGGCTTTCTGATTGGTTTATGACATCTTAAGACTGTACTTAAGATGATATTAAATGTAATAATCGAGTATGAATACCGGCCATAGTAATCATTTTGGAATAACTTTGACATCATACTGACGACTTGTGTTCTATTTGAATAAGTTGGCACTACATTGAATAATGTCGTGAAGATAGTAAAATTGATAAACAATAAATTCTTTATGATATATCATATTCAACATTTATCATTTACGGAAAAATCCGATATGTTTGCAAAATCCGTATTTCATTTCAGTGACGAAATACATAATATTTATTTAAGCAGATCATCGATGTTAATTATAACTTATTTATTAATGATACAAACAGATGTTCTATATTCAGATGTTCTATATCTATAAAATATTTATTTAATTTTTTATTTGATGTTCTCATATTATAACGTTGATGTTATAATTTATAATTAAATGTCGCGTCTGCATATAATCATTTGTACTTAAAACATCAGTTCCTTCTTTCTTTCACGGCGCATTTTATTTTCAAGGCCGAACAATGTGATGCGAACGATGGATTATCTCGACCATAAGCACGAAATACGTGCTCGTTTTCGTGCACTCCTTTCGCCGACATGAGGCGATATTTAATTATAGCTTGTAGAATGTGCTATCTCCGCTAAGTCAGCGGATGACAAAATTCGGCCATGCAGCTTCTTCTTCTTTCTCTTTCTCATTTTTGACGTTTATAAAAGTGTCGTATGAAGAAAATCGTCGATCGAATTCGAAGAATGAATTTGGCGATGACCAGACGAAAGGAAATTGGATACGTAGTACCGTTAATCGATTTGATCCTGATGGCTGGCATTAAGGAGCCCCCCCCCCCCCCCCCCCGATCTGCTCTTAACTAATCGAGAGAATCCTCCCGGACAGCTTCAGACGAAACAGGTTTTGTCGAACTGTAGAAGGGGAATTGCTAATGCAATGCCTTATATTTACACTTCCCAAGCGTCGTCTTGACGTTGTAGAAAACTTTGAAGCAAGATTAGAAAGAGAGAAACATGCAGTGAGAAACATATCAACAATACGAAAAATAATTTCCCTCTAGAAAAATGCTGTCATCAAAATAGTGTATCACTTTATGTCAATTATTAAAATTTGGTTTTATTGATTAACAAGATTATTTTTTAAAAATATTATAGAACAATTATTAGAGAATTTCGCAGAGATTGGGATGTGCAGGTAACATTTAAGGCACGATTTCACAATATATGGTTACCTAAAGATTAAAGTTAACCGAGAAATTCATGAATGAATTTCATTAATGAATCTGTTGATAACCTTCAATCTTTAGGTAACCATATACCTGTGAAAACGGATTTAAGTGGAATATTTGGTGATCCAAAGTAGTTTAAAACAGAAAAAAAATCGCAGTGATATTGACATCAAGGCTTTACGCCTATAAATAGTGCAGCAAGGCTAGAGATTTTCAATAATCATCACGTCCACGGAGAGTCATTTAACTGTGCTGAGAATTCGAATCGTATAAACATGTATATCGACTGTGAAAAAAAAATTCCTTGGTCTTCGTGTCCTACATTGTCTAGTTTGTGTACATCAATATTACGAAAATTAAAGGAAAGATAAATTCGCGATAATGTAGATGTGGAAGGAGGAAGAGCGATGTAAGAACAAGATGTGACCAGTGAGCGAGAAAGTGTAAAAGTTTATATTGAACGGTAATACTGACACATCGATCTTCCAAACACGAACGTCTCGCCAATAACAATAACAAGATTGATCGCATACATCCGTGTTATAATCATGAGATTTTGTTCGGCATTGTTTCAACAAAGTCTATTATCTTTCGCAGAAGGTTTGTGCTACAAAATAATGACTGGATCACCGGAAGATGACTCATGCGAATCAATTGATGCCGTACACATCGCCACCTTTGCGATAATCAGCGTTCGCGAAAATTGTGGAATTTTCATACAGTACGACACAAGCTACGCTGCCGCGAAGTTTGTAGCGTTCCATGACATGTCCCAAACGCTTCAGACCGTCGACCACTTGTTTAGGGATCCCATACTCGTAAGACACTTTGGGCGGAAATAGCTGGTGATGTATCCTCGCTGAATCCACCGCCTCCTTGACCGTCCGCCCCATCCAAAGTATTTTCGCTGTCACCTAAAAGCATACAGGTTTTTGTTCGTCTATTGATTTGTTGATCCTGATGACGCTAAGTAGAAATCCGAATTGAGCAAGCTGTTAAATATTTAGATGTTACTGACTTGCGATACTGCCGTCGTAATTTTCGTACCGCCAGCAGCACCCATGACCATTTTGATGTCACCGTTCCGATCGACCAGAAAGGATGGTACCATTGAGGACAATGGCTGTTTTTTGGGCGCGATATAATTGTTGGGGCTTGGCGGCACACCGAAGTAATTGAACTGCGACGGAATGCTGAAGTCGTCCATGCCGTTATTTAACAAAATGCCGGTTCTCCTGCTGACTATTCCACTTCCGAAACTAAAATCGTTAAAAAAGGCATATAAAGGATATATTTATGATCTGTAAACAATGCGATTTTATAGACGGTATTTATAGTTTATTCTTATTTTGAGACTGTTTTAAGTAATGTTTTAAAATGCTAATATAACATTCTGGTTGACTTATGGATACCTTGAGACAGTCTCAAATATAAGAATCGATTATAAATATCGGCCTAGGTGGACTTACTAAAAATTGATGGTGCTGGTAACCGATACCGCATCACCATTCTGCGTCAGCACGGACACGTGCGCGGTACCATGGTCTTCGACATTAGCGTAGGCAGGAGAGCCATAATGTTGTGGATCCTGCCACGTTCTTGTATCGTCTATTTTCTTTCGTATCGAGCGCGCGAAGCTCTTCGATGTCAGGTTTCTGATTATCTTTAAAAGAATTAAAATAATGCAATTATTAATTGATAACAAACTCAATAAGATTGAAAGAAAAAGGGATCGAATGATCCCTTTTCGATATGCTTACTTCGGTCATATCGATGAAAGTTCCGTCACCCAGCTTCGTCCTTAATGCGAACGCATACTTGAAAGTCTCTATCATTCTATGATATGTGAGGATTGTTGCGTTAAAGTCAGCTATGCTGGCTGGCATGAAGCCGTAATCATCGAAGATGTTGAGAATAAACGAGAGAAGAGCTCCGCTACCAGGCAAACCTGTAGTCAAGAGTTCCAATCCGTCCGAAAAATTTGATCGTATGGGTTGATTCCACGAAACTCTGGGCAAAAGTAAGAAGAACATATACCCAAGAGCTCTCTTTGTGATGCGGCGTATAATTATCCGTATTTAGAAAAAAAAAGAAACTTTTCTGAATGTGATTACCTGTACTCATTAAGATCTTTCATCGTTATTATTCCTCCTTGTTCTTGTAAATCGTCAACGAGAAGTTGTCCAATCGTACCGTTATAAAATTCGCTTGCGTTTTTCTTGGCAACAGTCCGTAGCGTTTCGCAAAGCGTGTGGGGTTTAATTACAGAGCCTGGTTTATGAAACTCGTTAGTTGCAGGATCAACAAATAGTTCTCTAAAAGATTAAAGAGGATATTTCGTATATACCGCCATAAATATTTCAGCATTCATTATGCATGGTTTGTATCTACACATTTAGTAAGTTTATACCTCAAAGTTGGATCATTGTAAATACTCTTCTTATTATATAAAAGTCCGTCATACTGTACTAATGTTAGAACATAGCCCTTTTCACAGAGGTCGATGCTCGGTTTGAATAAATCCGCCCATGGCAATTTACCGAATTGTTGATGAGCTTCCCAGTAACCAGCCAGTTCACCGGGTACGGCGACTGCCAGTGCACCTGTCAATTAAAGTCCGGCAGTATTAAATATTTTTTCATACGAGAAGACGATTGGTTGTTTATTGAAAAATTGGTCAAAATTTACCGAATCTAGATGCATTTGCGGGTTTGCCAGCGTACATCGTAAAATTCGCTGCCAAAGGTGCGCGGTCCCTTGCATTGAGAACGAAGGTCTGGCGTGTGGATCTTTGATAAATAGTCATCAAAAATCCACCACCGAGACCCAGACTCTGCATGTTCACGAGTCCGTTGCATATTAGCGCTGCTAGTGCAGCATCCACTGCCGATCCGTTCCGTTCTAGAATTGACCTGAAAAGAGAAATTAAACGTATTTATCTAGTTTTATTGATTATTCTTACGAATTAAACAATTCACATCTTTGGTATACATACTTGCCAATAACAGCGCATGGTGCTCCGTCC